TAGTTCTACTCTGTGACCTATGGACAAGTCTAGGTTTCTTTACTTGTAAAATGTTGATAATACATGTTTCTCCTAATGGGAGACAATGTAGGCAAACAGGTAGCAGAATATCCAGTAAAACATGGCCAATATTACATTCATCTTCTTGACTAGGAAACCCCAATCGAATTGAAGAATTGTGTTATCACTACTTTAAAATTTATTAATATTTATTCAATGTTGATTTGATGATTAATATTTGAGGTAGTATAGAAAGAGCATGGCTTTAGAGTCAAACAGATGTGATACAATCTTTAGTCACTGCTTTGGAGAGGAGAAATCTCGGGTCAACTATAATCTCTGATTTTCCTCACATGTTAAAGGAATACATACCATCAACTAACACATAGAACTATAGTGAGGACTATGTGAGATGATAATCTGTGAAAAGATTTTAATAAGGTATCTGGCACAATAAATTATCAGGTTCTTTGATCTTAAATTTTGTTGTAATTTATCTGAATTTTACTAATGTAAAGTTAATATTCAGCAAACATTTTTTGAGACTTACTCTGTGCACTAGGAACTGTGCTGAGTACTAGACACTAACTAGTTAACAAAAACATACATCATCACTGTCTCCAAACAGTTGAGCATTCTGGAGGCAGTAGAACAGGTATTAACCAAATAATACAAATGCCAACTGTGTAAGTGCTATGGAGAGGTAAGCTAAGGGGGACACATAACAGTGAGGTTTGCCCTGATCATGGAAATCGAGAAAAGTTGCCTTAGGGAAAATTCTCACTTGTAGTGTGAGTAGGAAACATAGCAGAAGGAAGAGTACTCTGGGCAGAGATACTACAATATGCTTAATCTTTTGTTGAATGTTTATAGAGCTTTATATGCACCAATAGCTTGTACCTCTGGCAACTAAGTGCAAGAGACTGAACGAATAGTGTAGCTGGCATAGATGATAAAGAGTGGCTAGAGAGGAGTGACCAAAGATGCAGATGTGGGGTATATTATCCTAAAGGCAATGGCAAATTGTTAAAGGGTTGTAGGGTTTATATTATTATTGTTGTTGCTCTTGTTACAGGGTAGATGGGATCATTGTACTTCACTAATCTGGCTGCACTGTGAAAATGAATTTTGAGGTCAGGCAAGAGTAAGTATATCAGTTTGAAGGCAAAGAAATGATTAAGAACTTAAAAGAGATTATAGTGGTTAAAAAAAATGCAGGGCATCTCAGTGGCTCAGTCATCTGAATGCTGAGTCTTGATTTTGGCTCAGGTCATGATATCAGGGTTCTGAGATGGAGCCCCACATTGGGCACTACCGCATTGGGCATGGAGCCTGCTTAAGATTCTCTCTCTAGCCTTCTGCCTCTCCCTGCCTCTCTCCCTCTCTCAAAAAGAAACCCAGAAAAATTCTAGGGACAATCAGGAGAAAAATTCAATAGGACTAGATGAAGAGTAAGGAGAAGAAAAGTCAGGGGCAATTTTTAGATTTCTGATTTGTATTATTAGTTGAATGCTAGTTCTATTTTCAGGTATACAAAGATGACCAGATTTGGGAAGGAAAGGTTATGTATTCAGTTTTTTGCACGTTAGGTTGAAAGAACAGTTGACCCTTGAACAACACAGGTTTCAACTGTGTAGGTCCACTTATACATGGATTTTTCCCCTATACATTCAGTACAATAAATGTATTTCTTCTTCTTTATGACTTGCTTAATAATATTTTTTTTCTGTTTACTATATTGTAAGAATACAGTGTTGACTATAATCAGTAAGGCTTTCAGTCAACAATAGGCTGCCAATAGTTAAATTTGGGGGAACTAAAAAGTCATATGCAAGTTTTCAACTTTCATGGGGGGAGGTGTCATCAGTGCCTCTAACCTCGCATTGTTCATGGATCAACTGCATTTTTTTTTAAATTAACAATAACAGCAACATAAAGCACACATCTTGCCACCCTTTTACTCAAAGTCCTATAATGGATTCCCATCAAATTCTAAACACAAATCCTGAGAGACATACAGTTATGATCTGGCTCTTAGCAACCTCTTGACTTTCCCCTCCTACACCATTATCCCATGGCCACTTTCACTAAAAAAAACATGGCCTTCTTGAAATTACTGATACACTCAACATTCATTCTTCCCTAAGAACTTTTGCACTTACTCTTCCTTCAGCTTGTCATACTTTTCTCCCCAGGTGTTCATAGTGCTTCATCCCTCACTTAATGGAAGTCCATGCTCAGATGTCATCTTTTCAAAGAATCTTCTTTGACTATCCTATATAAAACGGCCTTCCTGCTGAGAGGTTGGGATGGAATAGCAGAATGTAATCTCCTGTAGTTTTGGTGTACTAAAGAAAAAGGCCTGTCATACATAATACAAGTCTTAACTCTCAAGATTTTAGAAACAAGTGGACTGAATCTAATTAAAGCTGTTCCCCAAGATCAACTCCGTGGACTGAGGTGATCAATCCCTTTAATGCCTAACAGAAAATAAGGTAAATCCTTTCCTGGGCAGGTGGGGGTAGGGTGGGGGAAGCACATCAACTTCAATCTATCAGTTCTTTTAGACACACTGTCCTGCATAAAAGAAAAAAATTACAAGTCCTAGATACAGGGAGAAAGAAATATGATCAAGAATGTGACTAATCAAGAAAGAAAAATCAGGTAATAGATTAAGATCCATGATGATTCAGATGTTGGAGTGCCAGCAAGATTAAGAAGAAGAAGAAGAAAAAAAGGAAAAGAGTAAAGAGATTTTCAATAAAGAAATGAAATCTATTAAATATAAATAACTGAACACTCTAAAAGTAAAAATATCCACCATTTGAAATTAATTATTTGGATGGGCTAAATGAAAGACTGTACAAATCTGAAGATGCATCAATAGAAAACATCCAAACTGAAGCACAGAGAGAAAACAAGAGCAGACACAAACAGTACAACATATTTATAATTGGAATTTCAGAGAGAAGCAATAATAGAGTAGAAGTAATATGTGAAGGGATAATGACCAAGAATTTTAAAAAAACTGATACATCAATCCACAGATTCCAGAGTTCAGTAAACCTCAAGCAAGATAAATAAAATGAATATTCTAAGTAGGCCTACCATAGTCAAACTGCTGAAAACAAAGATAAAAAGGAAATCCTAAAAGCCAGGAAAAAAAAAACCAAAACATAGGACCTACAAGGAGCAAAAAGGTTTTTTATTGGCTTTGCAACAGAAAATATGAAAACTAGAAGAAAATGGAAAGCAAAGTTTCAAACTGCCTAATAAACAAAACCGCCAACCTGAATTCTGAATCCAAAGAAAATACTCTTCAAAAATAAAGGTGTGATAAAGACCTTTCAAACAAATGCTGCCACATTTGTTTGAAAAACTGCCACAAGACCTGTACTATAAGCAATATTAAAAGAAGTTCCTCGGGCTGATGGAAAGGAATTAAAATGATACTACAAAACTATCAAAAAAAAAAAACAGCAAGGAGATGAGAAAATGTGTATGTAAATACGAAAGAATACTATTTAAAGTAATGATACTGTGGGATTTATAACCACAAAATATATGAAAACTATAGCACAGAGGGAGGCAGCAAATAGAGCTGAATCATTTTAAAGTTCTTGAATTGTTCATAAAAGCACTAATAAGCCAAACATAGATGCTATAATCTGTAGGGTAACCACAGAAAAATCATATAATCAAGTATAACTAAAAAGTCAATAGAAGAGATCAAATAGTAGTAAGTACAGTTGACCCTTGAACAACAAGAGTTTGATCTGGAATCTTTTTTTGATATAGTACAGTACTGTAAAAGTATTTTATGATTTTCTTGAATAACAATTTCTCTTCTCTAGCTTACTTTATTTATGAATACAGCTAATATATACAACATACAACAAACAAAATGTGTTAATCAACTATGTTATTGGTAGGGCTCCTGGTCAACAGTAGACTATCAGTAATTAAGTTTTAGGGAACTCCAAAGTTCTGTCTGGATTTTCGACTGTGTGGGGGTTGGCACTTTAAATCCCCATGTTGCTCAAAGGTCAACAGTACTTTACTGAGGCAAAAGAAGGTAGGAAAAGGAGAAAGTAAAGGAATAAAGAAAAACTTGGCAAAAAAGATAGCAAGATGATAAACTTAAAACCTACTATACTAGTAATTACACCAAAAGTAAACAGTCTAAACATGCTAAAGTATAAAGATTCTAAGACTAGATAAAAAGAACAAGTGCAAAGTACAAAATGTTAACACACACTCTAAACATAAGGATATATATAAATAGGTAAATATAAAAAATAAAAGGACAGGAAATGTTTTGTCATGCAAACAAAACTGGTATGGCTGTATTAATATCAAAGTAGGCATGAATTATTTATACAGATATGAAGTGACATTCTATAATTATAAAAGTATAACTTCATCATAAAGGCATAATAGCCCTACAATTTATGTGCTGAGACATAGCTCCAAAGTATACAAAATTGCTTCTCCTCCATCATTTCTATCTTGCTTTTCCTTTCCTATTCACCACTTTTCACAATCTGACATTATATATTTAATTATTGTTTCCTTATTTCCCTACCCGCCTTGTGGAGATGTAAGATCCACAAGGGAAGGGACTTATTCTATCCAGATGACATTTTATCCTCTGTAACTAGCGTAACACATAGTAAGCACTCAAGAAATATTTGCTGAACAAATGAATAAAAGTACCACTAGCAACTTATATTCTCAGTGCTTACTTTTAAAGTTTATAGGATACATGTATTTTCCTCAGTTATGTAATCCTTTAACTTAAATAATACTTAGGAATCTCCGTTAGTCAAATTTTACATGAGAAGTTTAAACAAAAAGATTCTAAGAATGTTACTGGGAAATATTTTTTTCATGCAACAAAGGCTCCAAAATAAAAGATCTAAACGTGCCTTTCTTCATTTAAACATATTTAAAAAATATATATATATATGGTCACATAAATAAAATAATACAATTACATATTAGCTTTCATGTTTATTCAACTTCACAGAAAATCCAAAAGTGTGTCTGAAATTGGCTATCTATCTAAATACCAATTGTTCATTATGGTGACATAATACTATGTGGTAGGGGAGATACGCCTAAGTTAAACAAATTCTTAAATTCCTGACCATTCTTCAAGTGGGCAAAAGGAAATCTTAAAAATCAAACTTACAAGTTGTAAGAAGATACACAAAGTAATTTAACCTTTAATACCTGGAACAAGTTTTACAGCCACATTTGTAATTTACATATACAGTGGAGATCACTGAAAAAAAGCTTCCTGTTGCACTGCAGCAAGAAATCTTATTATAATGTAGATTAAATGAACTTGCTACAGAGTGCAGCAAGATAACCTCACTGAAGAATCATAAGATTTTCATAATGGAACTTGTTACAGTGAGTTAAATATTTTCTTAATTTTATACAGCACATATTTTCAAAATGACCATTATCACTGAAGAGTTTGCTAACCATTGTTAGCAATTACTGTTGTATACATACTTAATTTTACTTTAGTTATAGTATGTGGCTCTCCAAATGTTAGCACATGAAGTGTTAAGTTTAAACATAATAATAAAATAATCCCCTAAAATGAAGATTCAGGACATCAAAACTTTGATCATTATTGCACCTATTTTTCTACAGAAAAATGGAAACTTTACATCAGAATCCTCCCAAAAAGTGAACAGACAAGTTGTAAAAAACCACAGACTTATTGGCATTAAACAAAATCTACAATGAACATTTTTTGTGAACTGATGTACAGAATTAATGTGCAATGAAATTTGGTTAACTATGATCATGCAAATAAAAATCCTCCACAATCATTTTTTCATTATGTTTTATAAAATGGTCTTAAAGATATACTTCCATAAACATTTCCGGTGCAATTTAGTCAATGACAAAAATACAAAGCTATCCCTTATTCTTTATTTTATAGATTTAAAAACATGCCTTTGTACTGCTGAGATACAAACAGCGTGTTTGGGAGAACTGAGCTCATGAAACGGTTAAAAACCAATGTATCTTGGTCCAACATTAGCTGCCTTGTATACAGCAGCCTCCCATAATCACTGGTGTCAGTACTGTTGGAAATGAAGAATAGTTAAATATTGAGAGATTAAGACACAATTCAAAAACATTTTTTTAAAAAAAGGCCATTTCATAAACATGAAGAAATCTTTAAAAGAAAAATAATCACATCAATTGTGATATACGTTGGAAAATAGTAAAATGTCATTTTCCAAAATAGTAGTTTCTTTATTATATCCCCTATCTATTATAACCAATTTTGGAAATATACCTTAAACATAAGGGTGTATTATATGAAAATGCTCCATTAGTCAATGTGATAAATTTAATAAGTTAAGGTATGATTTTCTTTTCTGATGTTAACTGTGAAAAAACAAAAGAACAGCACCTGAAATACTAAAATGAATTTAGGCAAGCATTAAGTAGTAACTTTTATGTTTGGTTCAAAATACAGTTTATAAAACTGTATAAATGATACTGACTTAAGCAATTTGTTTCTCGAATTTGCAGATTATGATGAAGGAAAGAAAAAGAACTGGTCTAAATCCAAATAAATTTCCACTTCCCCCAAATCTCGACGAAGTAGAATTTCATTCAAAATTTATAAGATTGTGATACCTACAGTAGCTCAGATAGTTGGATATATCACTCCCACCCTGCCTCCCCCCCACACCAAAAAAACCAAGTTTTTGGCTCCAAAATAAAGTACAATAATAAACTCTTGATGAAAAACTATGTTATGGGGCAATCTATCATATACTATGCTAAATATGAATTTACAGAAAAGAGCACATCCCATTTTCAGCACTTTTTCATAAACATGCAACTCACTATAAAATACAAAACACTTGCTTTCAAGAACAGCTTTATAAAGACACACTGCACCAATAAAATTTTTTCTTTCTGATTAACTTTACACTGTTATGGAGAACTGGAACTTTTCTATGTGTATATATCAGATTTTATATTATAGTGTAATAATTTGCATTTTCTGAACATAATGTTCAAGAGGAAATATCTATACACAATAACATTCTAGACTATTAAAACTAATTCAAATTACAGAATTTTATTGATACAGTAGATTAATAAAAACTGAAAAGGGATGATGATAAAATGGGATAAAGAATTCAGTACATTATTTTATAACACACTCTTTAAAATTAAAATATTTTAAATCTCTCTTTTCTTAAAATTTTCATTGCCATGAAAGGCCAGAAAATTCTGAGACCAATACTGAGGTGTAAAATAATCAAACTTCAGGACTATTTCACAATTCGCATGGTGCCCTCCCATCGGAGGCATCATTCAGGTGTAATGGCAGACAAGTTAGCACCTCTGAAGATTAAGGGTGCCTAGGAGTAAACACTAGGTAAAATACACAAGGGAAAGAGACCATTTAACTCTCCAACAAACAATGACATCAAGAAAATGACACCATTTGTTGAAAAAATTTTTTTCACAGTAAAATTGCAGAGAATACAAATACAAACACTGACAGATTACTGCTTAAGATCTATCCTAACAAACTCTTTCCAAATCAATAGATCCAATAAACAGTTGGGTACTGTCAGTTTAAAGCCGCAGATAAAAGCTATACAAGCACTTTAGAAGTCAGAAACATTAAAAAATAAAAAAAAGAAAAAGAAAAAGAAAAGATATATTTACAGGTTTCTTCTTTAGTTTATGTCTACATAGCCATCGCACATCACACTTCCACAAGACTCCATAGTCAATGTTATCACCAAGCGTATGGCTAAAGCGCTGTGACCACAAGTACATGAGGTCATCACAGGAAGTTCCAACTGTCCACTTTCTGGCAGTCCCGCTTTGTGCATCAAAGGCTTTCCTTAGCCTCAAGCTTGACAAAAAATGCTTCTTCTCAAAGCTTTCACACAAAAAGTTATTAATTACATTTGTTCATCGCCTTTCCCTTTTAGAACTTCGCCGCCGTACCTTGAAAGAAAAATTACCAGATGCTTAATTAAAATATTAGACATAGCAGTGATTATTTTTTAACCAATCATTATTCTTAGTTGTTCCTGATTTTCTTTGCTTTTCTTCACTGGAAACCTTTCTGCCTCACCATCACATATTTAGACCTTATATACTATCTGAATGTCCACAGACAGGCCTTCCCACAATAGCAAAACAGAAAACTTTTACTTTTCTATTTTATAATTTTAAACAAGAACGAACGGAAATCAACGTCAACAGCAAGAAAAAAAAAAAAAACAATTCCAAGTATCTTTTCACTTAATGTTTCTGTGATGAAAGAAAACATTTGATCCTTATGAACTTAGGCTTACAGTTATCATTCTGGGAAAACAGTAATTGAATGTGGATCCTAGCAATTATCAAATACATGGAAATAATCTTTAAATTCAGACATATTACAATTTACTGGCAAGTACTAATAAAAGCATAAAACTTCAGTTCAAAAAAGACCTCTATTAAGAGGAATAGAAACAAAATAGGATTTTATTAATTCAATTAATTTATGGTGCAGTTTTTTGGATGAAGACATTAATCACTATGAACTCTTTAGTCTTTTTTTTAAATTTTTTTTTAATTTTTATTTATTTATGATAGTCAGAGAGAGAGAGAGAGAGAGAGAGAGAGGGGCAGAGATACAGGCAGAGGGAGAAGCAGGCTCCATGCACTGGGAGCCCGATGTGGGATTCGATCCCGGGTTTCCAGGATCGCGCCCTGGGCCAAAGGCAGGCGCCAAACCGCTGCGCCACCCAGGGATCCCTGAACTCTTTAGTCTTATTTCTACATTTAAAACAATTAAAAAAAAAAAAAACGCTTTAAGAAACAAACCCAACAACAAATTGGAGACTACACAGTTGACATATTTTTCTGTGGTCTTAACCCTTTTACATAAATGAATCCTGATGCAGACAGAAGTGATTATGTTAAATAGCACAGAGGGGCAGGAATCAACTCTGGGACTAGATCTCAGAACAGAGGTTTCTCAAACAAAGATGGCTAACTCTGCTGATCCAAAGACTCACCATTAGTGTAGCATCAATAGTCCCTACTTAAATGTGTTAACTGTATTTCTTGTGTTAACAGACAAAGCCATTCTTTACTTAAAAAAAAAACAAAAAACAAAAATTATCTTAGGAAAAAAGGAATGTTTGTTATCCATTTTATACATTTCAAAGGTGTGAGTTTTATCCTATATGGTTAACTTCTACTTTCTACTGTGAAACTCAATGACAAAAGTTAAGAAACATAAACCACAGTCTGTCTAACATAAAACAGAGCTCTAAAAATCAAGGTATAATTTAAATTCCTGAAGTATCAATATCACACAGCTACTTGTTCTTCTCTAGATTCAGCTTTCAGCTTGATATTTACCCTTTCACTAGGCTATATCTGTTGTTCTCAGAGTCTCAGGATTCCATAAAGGATGTTCCCTAATTATCCAAGCTGATAGATGAAACACCACCACAAATTAATGGAGAAAAGCAAACAAATACTTAGAAGTAACAGCAAGTGCTACATATCTCTTACCAAATATTTACCAACTCTATTTCTATATTCTATACTATCACACATAGTACTTTAATAATAAACACATACATTTACTGTAGAAACTTCCTCTTCCTCTGTTTCTTCCTGTGGAATATCATCGACAGGAGAGCTACCCTGAAACACATCTACTTCTTCACTTGAATCATTTTCTTTAGTCGCTGCTTGTTTGGAGCGTCCTACACGGCTAGAGTAAAACAGATGTAAAATAAAATGAACATTCCGATCTTTACATAGATTACCTCAGAGAAAATGCTTTAAATACTTCATAAATGCTCATTATCATTTGTATCCTCTATTACCTTATAAAACAAATATTTTTCTTCTTCTAAATCCTAGTGTTTATTCCTAGAGTTTCACCTAAAAACATTGACCAAGTAACAAAAACGTGTAACTGAGAGCAATACCAAAAAGGATTTTAAAATATAAACTAAAGTTTGCTCTTCCTTTTATTTTTCCCAACTCAATAAAAGGCATCTGCATCCAGTGAGCTGCCCAAAACAGAAAATTTAGAGTCCTTCTTAATAGCGTACCATTCTTTATCTGGCCCCATAATTCTTACAATGAAATCTCAAATCCTATTCACTTCTCTTCACCTCTACTGCTACTACACATCCAAACCATTCTCATCTCTTTACCTCTTCTCTAAAAATGTAAAAACAGCTGATGTCACTCACTACCCCTTGACAACTCCCTATATACAGAAATAAATCCCATAAACCTCCTTAACATAGTATATAAGGCCCTGCACACAGTCCTTGGCTACCCGTCCATTCCTCTTTCCATTCCCCAATTCCTCACAACAACAATTTGGCAAATTCTTACCTACCTTCAACACTCTGAATTGGCCAAGATTTTTCCTACTTTGGAACTTTCAAATCCAATGTTCCCTCCAATTGTGTTCTTCTTCCTGTTCCCCATCAGCCTAACTTCTACTATCCTCAAGAAATCTACTGTCATTTTCAAAGAGAAAATTTCCCAATTCCCTAGCCCTCCCATTACGTTCTCTTACAGTACCCTATATTTTTTTCCTTAGGGCACATGTCACAATTTAGGATTCCAATTTATGTGTGATTAAGTAATGACTACATGCCCATTTAGATGATAAATTCCACGAGGACAAGAATCATGTCTATTCTGTGCAACTATATCCCCCAGCACCTAGTACTCTCCGAAACACAGGAAGCAATCAATTATATGTAATAGATACCATTTAATCAAATGTATCCCTCTCTATATTTTTTTACTTGCATGTATATTTTTTTCTTTCTTTTTTTAGATTTATTTGAGAGAGGGAAAGCAAAAGACAAGCACAAGCGGAGATGGAAGGGCAGAAGGACAAACAGATTCCCCGCTGAATCGAGAGCCCAGTGAGGGGCTTGATCCCAGGATTCTGGCATCATGACTTGAGTCAGACATATGCTTAATTGACTGAGCCACCAAGGGGCTCCTGAATATATTCTTTAATTAAAAACTTTTTTTTTATTTGAGTACAGCTAACACACAATGTTACATTAGTTGCAGCTGTATAACATAGTGATTTGACTTGTTTATACATTGTTATGCTCCACACAAGTGTAGTTCCCATCTGTCACTGTACAATGCTACTACAATATCATTGACCATATGCTCTATGGTCTGCCTTTCTTTACTCCTGTGACTTATTTCACACCCACATTGGAAGCCCATATCTCCCACTCCCCTTCAACCATTTTGCCCACACTCCCACAACCATATCTCTCTGGCAAGTTTCACCTTACTCTCTGTAGGTTAACTTTTTTTTTTTTTAATTAAGAATACAGCTTATCACTTCTCTTAGATAATCTAAAGTATGTACTGTTTAAATCCATGCTCAAACCAAGTAATTTTTCTTATTCAATTCAATTTTTCAGAGTTAGCAGAAGAAAACACAGGAGTTACATGGAAAATACAATCTTTCTCAAATCCACTAATGTCAAAACAAGAGAGGCAGATCATAACATATGCTATTCTACCAGTTCTAAAAAAAGAGGTTCCCCATGAAGGGAAGATACTTTTAAGACAGAATACAGAGTCTTTTATTGCACTGTTTTTTTTTAAATTTCTTAAATTTATTTATGATAGTCACACACAGAGAGAGAGGCAGAGACACAGGCAGAGGAGAAGCAGGCTCCATGCACTGGGAGCCCGACGTGGGATTCGATCCCGGGTCTCCAGGATCGCGCCCTGGGCCAAAGGCAGGCGCCAAAACGCTGTGCCACCCAGGGATCCCCTATTGAACTGATTTTTAAAAGACATACTTGTGTGGTTTAGAATATTTGTATGAGGACTTGTGTCATTTTAGGAGATGATATGATAATCATTTAAGCCCTTGATTTTGATGTCCAAATATAAACAAAGTTATAAGCCTAAAAGATATTTGTTATTTCCTCATTATAAAATTGTGAGAATTTAATATTCCTTAAGTATTTGTTTAAAAACAGTTATTTTCTGTAACTGAATCCAAACACATTCACAAAGCTACCACAAAAATATACTTACCTTTACTTTTTACTGAGGAAAAAATTAAATGGAAGAGAGCATGAAGTAGCTAGACACTCAGGCACTTTTCCTCTTCCTGTGGAATACACAGGAATAGGAAATACTTCCAAGGTAACTTAAGTATTGAGCAAAGGTGTTCTGGCAAGTCTGAAAATCCAAGGCACTGATGTAATTATGTAATGGGATTACTCTCAGAAAAACTGAAGAATTTCTGACTAATGGAAGACATGCTATTCTAGTTCTACTTAAGTAACTGAGAAAAAAAAAGTATACAAATTAGGGACTGATGCTCCGGCTACTTTAACAATCTTAGGCTGTAACTTCTTATAAACATGTTTGTGTGAACTTTCTGAAACTATTTATATGTAGATATGGATGTGTCAATTTGATTAGAAAAGAAAATCAAAGCACCAAAAACTTCAGATCTACATATCATTTCTGTGGATGTAATTTAAAAGAAAATAATGCCTGTTATTTTCCTACAGCAAAGAATAAAAACAAAAATGTAAAAACTTTTTTTTTTTTAAGTTGCTGACGAGGAACACTAAGGAAAAACCATAGTATGGAATGACAAGGCAATCTGGTCAGTATGATGTGATTATTTAAAAATATCTTCTCATTTCTTTAAGTACTATAAACTCTCTATTGGAATAATAATAAGCTATTTGGTATTCATTTAAAAAGATTTGCCTAAAACCTGTAAAAATGTACAAATATTGTCAGAGAGTTAGTTGGGATATCAATAACCTAGGTAAGTTTATAAAAATTTTATCTTACCTAGTATAACAGGAATAAATATATGGGATTTTAAATACAGCCCTATGTATATTTGAAAATTTATGAACTTTTGCAAAATAATTGGAAACTGGTTTGAAATTTAATATTATTTACAACTTACACATTTTTTTTTGGTTGTGATGGTGATGGCGTTTTTGATGGTCTTCCTCGTCCTTTCTGTGGTGTGGATTGTGTGGATTCAACTGCACTAGTTTCAGGAGATTCTGCTCTGCTTTGGGGAAGACCCAAATGTGGATAGCATCAAATTATGATTTATAACATAGTTACTAAATATATGCAGATTAGAGTTACATGCACTCACCTCTGTTGTGCTCTCCTTGATGTTCGGTGCTGTTTGCTCTTTGACTTCTGTTCTGTGTTTCCACTTTGTCTTTCTTCTTCTTCCTCTTCTTCTGGTGCTGAAGGTCCAGATTTTTTTTTGGCTTTTTTAGAAGTTTTCATTGTTGGCTCTTCCTTTGGTGTACCTCCACCAAGAGGTTTAGGTGGTCGGCCTCTTTTACCTTTTTTTGGTGGACTATTCTGTTCATCCTCATTTTCTAATATATCTTCTTTGAGCCTCTTTTCCTCAGGCCACTGTTGTTCATCTGATTCTGAAGCCGTATGGCCTCTCTTCCGTCCGCGCTGACTGCCTTTAGGTTTCTGTTCCTGTACCAACTTAGTGAGGTCATCCATACCTAATTTCTCTTCTGAATCTGTGACAGGTGTTTTTTTCCGGCTTCTAGGTTTGTCCAATTCAGACTAGGAATAAAAACCACAATTTCAAACTTAAAATTGTTAGTATGCATTTTGAAAAATAAAACAAAAACTATGTTACCCACTTATGTCATAAAAATGTGCCTAAATAAAATGTAGAGTTCTTAAGCATATGAGAACCATAACTACTTACTTGTATTTTAACTAAAAAAACTATCTAGGGTAAGGGAATAAATTTTTATCATTACTTAATTAAGCTAGAGGGCCTTAAATGGAAACATTCTAAGATTAGTATTTTATTAAATTATAAATTTTAATGAAGAGTTATTTATTAAGTTCCATGCAAGAACAATGGCTAACTTTACTAAAGTATAATGGATCTGCTTTGATAGTCAATTTAAGTAATTCTAATTTTACTACACAGTATATAAGACATAAAATAACTATGCTATGTATCATGCTCAGACATCGTAATAGAACTACTTTTATAAATGGAGGTTGCAAGATACAAAAGTTAAACATATTCATTATTAAAAATTTTGAAAACACTTCTGAATCAGATACTTCTTCCCATGTACAACCAAGAAAACACAAAAACAATTTAAATGATTTAATCAGTAATTCAAGTTTAAAATAAAAGCCTATTCACGTTCAGAGAATTTATTCTTCTCAAATCAATTAACAGTATGAACCCTTATAGCTCTCCATACACATACAAGTATAAAACCCATTATTAAGTACATGTAAATTTTATTTCCAAAAGTTTGTGCCAATTTATATTTTTAAAAATCAGTGTAAAGAAAACAACAAAAATTATCTGATTTAATTAGTCATTTTGTTTCCTGTCTGCAAACTTCCTAATAATGTCATTGGTATTATATTCTTTGTCTACTTACATACTGGAGTCTTAATATTTTAATCTACATTCTTCTATATCTTTGCATATACATAAATTTTACTTCCTATTTGTTATGGACTGAATTGTGTCCCCACAAAATTCATATGTTCTGTATTTGTGTTTCCACATCACCACCAATGTGATGCTACTTGAAGATGAGGTCTTTGAGAGATACTTCAGTTGAGATGAGATCAGGAGGGTGGGTGGGGCTCTCATAACAGAATTAGTCCCTTATGGGAAAGACACCAGAGACAGCTCTCTGTCTCTCTCTCCACCATGTGAAGACACAGTGAAAAGGTGGTCATTGCAAACCAGGAAGCAATCAGCCAACTTCGGTCTTGGAATTCCCAACCTTCAGAATGGTGAGAAAATTCTGTTTTTTAAGCCACCGGTTTCTGGTATTTTGTTACAGCAGCCTAAGTAGACTTAGACATTATCGTATCTTAACAGGATTTGAGATGAAGGTCTAAACTGTTTTTCCTCTCCATCTCCCCAAAGAGTATTCCAATCATTTCAAAAAAATCACTCACTTGTAATACATCACTTATTTTGTATTATGTTTTAAAACTAAAAAATGTTTTTGGGCTATTGAAACAGCAGCATAATATTTTACTAATTATACATAAATACATTTGTGTCTGCCTGGGCTGATATTATTACTCCTCTTTTTTATATTCATTTGTTTTTCTACATGGACTTAAAATCCCACTGGAATTTTATAAATACATACAGACTCATTTAGAAAGAACAGTCATCTTTTCTTATTCGTTTTTCCCATTAAAGAACATGGCATGTCTTCTTTCTCTTCAAGTCTTGTATATTTCTCAATTTGGATATTTTCTCCATTATAGGATCCCCCTACTTCTTTTTTAAGGTTATATTTAGATTGATAGATCTATCTATTTTTGTTGTTGTAGTCGTTATTGTGGTGAAGCAAATCTCCTTTCCCCCAAGTGTATAATTGAGATAAGAAAAAAGAACCAGAGGAAAGCTGGTTATACACATAAAAACATCCACATATATGGCTACCATGCTAAATTCTTAGTTTTTCAATTGCTTCTTATTTTTCTAAGAGAACAAAAAATAAAAACAAATTTGTCTCTTCTTTTCCATTGTTGTATTTTTGACTATTTCATGTATTCTTGAATTTGTCAAACATTCTAGAATAATCTTAAATAACAGTGATGATGAGAGGTTGCTTGTTTTGCTGATTTTTAATAAAAATGCTTCAAGTATTTTGCCTTAAGAAGAATAACTTAAGAGGAGTAACTGAATCAATGATTATTGACTTAAACAGATAAAACTTTAAGCATGTTAAAGAAATATCCTGCCGGTATTAGCTTAAGAGTTCCTATGTATCAAGAATGGATTTTAAGTTGTATTTATGTCTTCCTTACAAGACTTGAGATTATCTTGTTAGTATTCTTATTTGGTATATTGATCTGCTATATCATATTAAAAGATATCTTGGCATTAAATTATCCTACGTTCCAGGAAAAACAGACCTATAGGTGATTGGTTTTTAACTTATTTAGAGTTCTGCACATAAATTAATAATTGTCATTACTCAGAGATCCAAAGATAAGGGAAATATTCAATTAAAACTAAATTTAAAATTATCACCTCCAATGTTAAATGTTACAATTCACTTTGATGTCCAAAAATGTGATAAGGTGGTTCAATTCCTTTATGACCTGGAAAAGGTTGGTGGTAAACAGGAAATTTAATGTCTGCCTTCTTGAGAATACTATAAAATAATTTAGTTTATTACTAAAGCACTGTATTCTCTAGTTTTTTATTTTGCACTGCATTGTCTTAAGAACAGAGAGAGTACATATAAAACTGAGGTTAGAAGAAGGAATAGGGAAAATATATTATTTATAAAACTAAAAATATTAATATAAATATAGATGAAGAATAATTCCTTTGTGGTGAAATTTTCATGTCAAGGTGGTAGCATATGCAAAGACAGTACTTTTTCACTATAATCTACTGGTCTTTATTGTTTTTTTTTTTTTTTAAATATTTTACTTATTTATGAGAGACAGAGAGAGAGAGGCAAAGACACAGGCAGAGGGAGAAGTTGGCTCCTCACAGGGAGCCTGATGTGGGATTCGATCCAGGGACGGGGATTACGCCCTGAGCCAAAGGCAGACGCTTGACCGCTGAGCTACCCAGGTGTCCCTAATCTACTAGTTTTTAAATTGAACTTTTGTCTCATAATGCTAACTCCTTGAGGCTATTTCAGTTGATATTTAGTAATGCAGTATAGTATTTCTGAAAATGGATGCAATATTATACAAAAGGCAGCCAGCCAAAGGCCTCCACTATAATTATACATATCAATCTCAGAAGTTCAGAATTTTAAAACTTTTCTATGAAATACAGACTTTCTTCTTCATTGCTCTAAAAGGTAGAACTAGATATAGAATTTATAGGATAAAAAACATTAAGAGTTCATCACAATCATGTTTTCCAAACTTGGGGGGATGTGCGTGGGATTAAGGGAGCAGGACAGTATGTAGGTATGGGTGGCCTAGCTGATGTTTCCAAAAAATGAGAAAAATTACAACCTCTCCACCTATGGCATTTTCAAGCATATGGTAACCAACTCTCATAAATACTAATGAAGGAATTTCTGCATTAAGTGAGAAGTAGGACTAGAAGACATAAATACCTTTTCCAATTCAAGGTTCTCTTCTATAAATCCAAATAACAGGATTCCTTTCTGGCTAAGCGATCAATTTTTAACTCTGCTTGGGCAAAATTTTTACTTTTCTTTTTTTTTTTTAATTTTTTTTTTAAATTTATTTATTATAGTCACACAGAAAGAGAGAGGCAGAGACATAGGCAGAGGGAGAAGCAGGCTCCATGCACCGGGAGCCTGACATGGGATTCGATCCCGGGTCTCCAGGATCGCGCCCTGGGCCAAAGGCAGGCGCTAAACCGCTGCGCCACCCAGGGATCCCTGGGCAAAATTTTTAAACAGCCAATAAAAATCAGAATTTACAGTATAGTTAGGATTTAGTAAGAATTTTAGAATTATAATATTTTAAGTGGAAAGAAAAACAATCTGGCAAAACAAATTACTGGAGAAACTTGAAAACAACTGAAAATAATTTCAACTTTTTGGGATAGGTAATGTTGGGACAGTGGAAAATAAGAAGGGCAATAAAATTTCAGCGAAACCAAAGTTTTTTATTAATAACATTCCACCCCTACTGAGTAGATTCAAATGCATTAACTTTTACTTTATAGTAATTATTAAACAAAAATATTGATCTTTATAATAAAATGGCAGCAACACCAATTAACTTAGGCTAATTCATTTATTCTGATAAACCTTACCAGCCAGTAGCCAAATTTTACAGATAAGAAACTTGATTCAGAGAACCTTAGTGATTATTCAAGAAGTGTTTAAAACTAAACTAGAAGTCAAAATGCGTTCAATTATTAAGGCTATCAGGTTGTTTTGTCTTTAAATGACACTTATAAACTGTTTCTATCATAGAAGTTATCATTGTTATTAAAATTTAAGAACTAAAGAAGGTAAAACTGTAACATTTCCTACTATTTGCATTTTCTTACTAGAAGTTTGTTTAGTTAATGAAAGGCTCAAGAAGTCATCCAAAATGGAGGAACCTTTAAGGACCCCTCATTCTACTTCCCCTCTCTAATGCTAAGTCTAAACTTACTGTGTTTTAAAAACAACAACAACAACAACAACAACAACAACAGACCCCAAGCAGTTCTGAGTATGGGACTGGCATGTTTGATTTAAAAGATCTACAGAGATCACTTATTAGAATGATAAGAAATACAAGAGATTCAGTATGCTTAAATTTCTTGGTAGAGGAGAATTATAAACTCAAATTTGTGATTAAAACCATTAAAAGAAAATCAAATGTCGAATTTGGGAGTAATATTAACTGGTTTCAGTGTAAAAATTATTTTTGTCATTATTATTATAATTATTATAAAATCAAACCAAATATCTCACCCTTACAAGATCAGAGTCGTCTCTCTTGTCACTTTTTTTTCCTGGCAAAGGTGAAGACATTGTATAATCTTCATTTTCACTGTGATCCATTTCAGAGCTATCAAGCCTTTTAATATAGACATTTGTAATTATTATTACAATGAAATAACCTTAAAAGTTTTTTCTGTTCCCTAGTGTAGCTTTACAGTTTTATGAGGAAAAGTTTCATTCTTTCAAAAAAAAGTATCCATTTTATTCTATCACATTTAGCACCTAACCAACAAGCAATGAATCATATTTAATTTAACATAATAGGGAAACTTTAAAATCACAAACTTAGTTTCTTTCTAAATCTTCTTAAAAAAATTATATTTTGGAGTGGGCACATAAAGTAAATTATAGCTTCTCTTGTTATCAAGTTGGATTGGCCTATATTACTTTAATTTGCACTTTCCCCTATCTCTCCCATATACCCGTTCTACTTTTTCTTCTCTGTACTCTTAACACCTTCACATATAGTAAAGTTATTATGTTTATTCTCTACTAACTTCCCCTGCTAGAATGTAAGCATGTATCTTTTGTCAATTGTACTTAGCAATTTATATGAAGCACTTACACCAGTGCCAGTCATAAAGTAAGCATTCAATAAATACTTAATAAATGAATTAATAGCACATGCTCTCATTTATTGGTATAAAGGATGTCTTCTGTCCTAGATCACATCCTTAATCTGGCTTTAAAAACCATTTAAACATTGTTAAGTCCTAAATCTCAATCTCTGGCTCAGAAGCTACCCTGAGCTCTAGGCTCACATACTCAATTGCCCACCTCACTTGAATTTCTAATAGGCATCTTAACTTTAACACAGCCAAAACAGTCATTTGGACACTTCTACATCTCAGTAAATGGCATCACCACCTATAGAAATATTCCGGCAGAAAACCTAGGATGCATCCTTAACTATTTCCTTTCCATAACCATTCACATCTAATCTATCAAGCAAGCCAATCTGGATCTACCATCAAAGTAAATCCTAAATTTTGACTATCAACCATCTTCCTCTCTCTTTATCCCTTCCCTGAATTACTATTAGCTGACTCCTAATTGTTTTTGTTTTTGTTTTTTTAACCTCAATTCTAGTTCCTCTATTCTGCACCAACAATCAGGGCAATCTAATAAAAGTACAAATTAGATCACTATGCTCCGCAGCAATATCTTAGCAAAGGGGGAAAGTCAAAGCCAATTTTGAGACATTAAGCCTAAATGACTGGGTGAATTAGATCATTTTTTATTATAACCCGGAATTTGACAAGAAAAACCAGTTATTTAGGAGGAAATGAGTTGCTGGAAATATTCTGGTCATGTTGAATATGAGGTCGTCCACTAGAAAATATCCAAATGATATAGGTGAAGGGCCACTTAAGCACTAACCACTAATATGTATTAATACAGGAGTCTAAAACAAGACCTATAAATGCAATTTTTGTTCAATTTCTACTATATTATTTATCACTTGACAATTTATTCATTACAAGAAAATTGATAAGACATTTTAGAATATTTCCTTTCTTTATTGATTGGTTATGAACAATACAAAAGATAGTACAGTTAAGCCCTGTACAGGGTTTTGCTAACAAACGGTGTACTAAGCCCTATGTTAAAATTAGTGAAAGTGTGAATTATTTTCCCTTTCTTTCTTAAAAAGAAAAACCTGTAGAGCATGATTTGAAAGTATAATTTTAAAACAATTTTTTTAAAGTTTATGCATGTACACGGGAAAAAAATTTCAACCCAGAGTATAAAATGAGCTCCCTCCTATTCTAGAGTACCATAAGATGTTGTATATTCTTCCCCAAACTTTCTACGCATATGAAAGCCAATGTGAATACAAATCCTTTCTAAAAACTTGAAAATACTATAATATTATTCTATTAATTGTCTTTTTTATTCAATAATTGGTTGTGAAAACAATTCATATTGGCTCATACCTCATCACTTTAACAATTATGTATTCCATTGTATGGATATATCATAATATAACAGTTTACAGTTTTACAAGTGCTAAACATTTAGCTTATGTCTACTAACACAGGTTATACCAACAAGCTAAAATATAAAAGGCTAAGATGGAGAGCCTATCTAAAATAAGAGAGCAAATAAATAGGAACTTGTAAATGGCTACAAATGTTAAATGGGAATGTTCAGGTATGCACTGATTTCCATTCACTGACATTAAATGTTTTGGGTTACACATTTTAGATCTCACTGCTTTGTTGGAATCCTTAAGTGCAAAGTACGACATTTCTTAGGTACTTACCTCCCTTTTATTCTTCCAGGAGAGCTTGGATTTGAGCTGCTGCTTGCATTGCTTACAGTTTCCATTCGTGATGATTTTGTCTGAGATTGCTTTCCTGCCGATGAAAGTGGCTTATTAACAGCTCCTAGAACATTGGTTGTTTTAGGCTGAAATGAAAAATGCATATCTTTCTATTAAAGCCAAAAGAAATTTACATGTAAAAAACCATAAATATCTGTCAAAGTGTTTATGTACAAATCACACACACAAATATGCCCATCCTTAAATAAAGTAAGGATCTTGAACAGACTATTACTTGAAAGAGTGAAAAACCAAATAGATGGCATAACAATTAAGTTTCTTAGCTATCTGAAGGAAGAAGCTTACATAAAAAGTGAGAATAAAATGTGTAGTCAATAATAAAAACAGATAACCAGACTCTTGCTTTGGAAAGACATAATTAGATTAAGAAGATGTTTTTAACTTTAAGATTTTTACCTTGATATAACCGGATAAGATACTTAAGGATCAAGCTCTGTAGGGCTTGGCTTTATTATAAGCTACAATTTATGTATCTCAGCTTGCATCTATATAGTAAGCAAAATTATTTCTAACTAGTAAGTCGAAGACATCTAATAATTGTGTTTTCTATCTTAAGATACATCAATTTTTAAAGAAATACAGAAATAACATAATTATGTCAATAACCATACTAAAATAAACTATCACATAAAAATTAGAATGACATTCAAAACGTACTTTTCCAGGTGTGAAAAACGATTTCATTTCTGGAGGCAGATAATTTTTGGTGTTACTGAAATTCTACAAGCAAGGGAAAAAGTTGCAGTCAGTGAACACTGAAACACTATACATGAGGTGGTTTGAAGCCAACAAAGCATACATCAGCTTTTGTTTTATAGTACATAATAAAATATATATTTAAATATATATTTAAATAATCAGTTCAAACACAAAATTTTGGCCATTGATTTCAAATATTGTAACAAAGGGCACCTGGGTGGCTCAGTCGGTTACACATATGACTCTTGATTTCAGCTCAGGTCATTGAGCCCTGCATTGGGCTCTGCACTGGGAATGGAGCCTGCTTAAGATTCTCTTTCCGTCTCCCTCTGTCCCTCCCCGCCCCCCAAAATAAATACTATAATAAGCTTAAACTAATTTTATACCAACTCCAGTATTAAAAACATATTCACACTCTAACGTGTTAAAGCTCTAAAAGCACATCTGTAACAATACCTCCAGAGAAGAGACCAATCACATATTCCTATCATCTTAATCACAACAAGGTGAATGCTTAAAAGCAAACAGTCCCTTTTAGCTGAGTGAGCCTACATACAAGGGTGTTATAAATCTCTCCACGTTGGTAAGACTTTAATTGGTATTTTGCTTAAAAACAAACACAAAAGCAAAAACAGTAGTGTAGTTTCCATACTCTCAGCCAACAGACTTAGGTGCATTATGAACCTCTAAGAGTGATTCCAGAAAACACCTATTGTATCTCATAGAATACTTGAGTTTTGTAAAAGTGGTTTGAGAACATTCTTATAACGTTCCCTGGGTCTTGAACCTGTTTCAGTGCTTGTTGTCTGCTTGTTTCTTAATACCAGTTATGAATCTCAATCAAAGGTTTATAACTTCAGACTGTGTCTATCAGCATTCTCTTTCCCATTTTGGATCAATGGCCAATAATGACAGATCTATATGCTTTGACCACATTTTTGCCTCAACTCACACACTAGCATAAAACTCTGATCACAAACTCTCGACCACCTTAACTAATCTCTGACCCTTATTTGTGTCCTCTGGTTTGGCCCATATGCTACTCTTGAACCACATTAGTATGATGCATGGTGAGTTTTCCATAACATTAGTCGTACATTAGCTTTTGATATTGATCCTTCCTAATCTTTCCACAACCTAGTGCTGAGAATACATTTTATTTCAATATATACAAAATCTAAAATAACTACCTTGTCAGGTTGGGTGAAAAAACGAGCTGGTAGTACTGGGTCTTTAGGAGATTCCAAACTGTATGTGGTGCTCTTTGACATGATGATATTCATGGCAACATCACACACAGTGTACAGTTTCTGCAATAGTATTAAAAAAATTAGGTACTTAAGTTGGCATCCTCGACTCTGTGAATTAGAAGTAATTCTAGAACATGCATTTTGTACAGGCATACCTCAGAAATACTGCAGATTCAGCTCTAAATTACCACAATAAAACCATGTTGTAACCAAGTGAGTCAAATGAACTTTTTGGTTTCCCAGTGCACACAAAAGTTATGTTTACACCATGCTATAATCTACTGAGTGTGCAACTGCTTATGTCTAAAAACCAACATACAATGTAATTATAGTATAAGTAATTTAAGAATATTTTATTGCAGGGGTGCCTGGGTGGCTGAGCATCCAACTCTTTATCTCAAGTCTTAATCTCAGGGTCATGAATTCAAGTAGTGCACTGGGCTACATGCTGGGCATGGAGCCTACTTTAATTCATTCATTCATTCATTAAAGAAAATTTCATTGCTGAAAATGCTAAACACCGTCTGAGCTTTCAGTGACTTGCGATCTTTTTGCTGGTCCAGAGTCTTGCCTCAGTGTTGATGGCTCATCAACAAATATGATATTTGTTGATAGCTTATCAACAAATAAGACAATAATGAAGTTTGCTGCACTGAATGACTCTTCCTTACATGAACAATTTCTCTGTAGCATGTGATGCCACTTGATAGCATTTTACCCAGAGAAGAATTTTCAAAATTGGAGTCAATCCTTTCAAAATTTGCTGTTTTATCAACTAAGTTTGTGTAATATACTAAACCCCTTGTTGTCATTTTAACAATCTTCATAGCATCTTTACAAGGAGTAGTTCCCATCTCAGGAAACCACTTTCTTTGCTCATCTATCACAAGCAACTCCTAATTCATTAAAGTTTCATCATGAAATTGCAGCAATTTGGTCACATCTTTTAAGAACAGTTCTCTTCCTATTTCTACCACATCTGTAGTTACTGCAGCCATGGAAGTCTTGAACCCCTCAAAGTCACTCACAAGAAGGGTTGGAATCAACTTCTCTCAAATTCCAGTCCATGTTGACAATTTGACTCCTTCCCACGAATCACAACTGATCTTAATGGATGTAGAATGAAGAATCCTTTCCAGGTTTTTAATGACTTTACCCAGATTTATCAGAAGAACCATGATCTATATAAAATGTATTTCTTAAAAAATTAAGACTTGAAAATCAAAATTATTCCTTGACCCATGGATTATAGAATGGATGTTGTGTTAGGAGGCCTGAAAACAGCATTAATCTCATTGTATATCTCTGTCAGAGCTTTTGGATAAACAGGTGCATTATCAATGAGGAGTAACATTTTGAAAGGAATCTTTCTGAGCAGATCTCAACCACAGGCTTTAAAAATTCAGTAAACCATGCTTTAAACAGATGTGCTGTTATCCAGGCTTTGTTTTTCTATTAATAGAGCACACAATGTAAATTAAGCATAATTAATAAGGGCCCTAGGATTTTCAGAATGGTATAAGAGCACTGGCTTCAGCTTCAAGTCATCAACTGCATGAGCCCCTAACAAAAGAGTCAGTCCATCCTTTGAAAATCTGAAGCAATGCACAGACTTATCCTCTCTAGCTATTGAACTCAATGGCATCTTCTTCCAATAGAAGGCTGCTTTATCTACATTGAAAAACTGCTGTTTAGAGTAACCATCTTCATTAATTACCTCAGCTAGATCTTCTGGGTAACTTGTTGAAGCTTCTTTATCCACACTTGCTGCTTCATCTTGTACTTTATATTATGGAACTGGCTTCTTTCCTTAAACCTCGTGAACCAACCTTCTGCCAGCTTCTGCTTTCTTCTATGCTTCTTCACTTCTCTCAGCCCTCACAGAATTACAGAGTCAGGGCCTTGCCCTGGAGTAGGCTTTGGCTTAAGGGAATGATATCATTGGTTTGATCTCCTATCCAGGCCACTCAAACTTAATCTGTATCAGAAATAAGGCTATTTCGCTTTCTTATCATTTGTGCTTCCCATTGGAGCAGCACTTTTAATTTCCTTAAAAACTTTTCCTTCGCATGCACAACTTGGCTTACAATTTGGCACAAGAGATCTAGCTTTCAGCCTCTCTCAGCTTCCACATGCCTTCCTTACCAACCTTCTTCATTACTAGCTTTTGATTAAAAGTGAAAGATATACGACTCTTCCTTTCACTTGAACACTTAAGAGGTAACTACAGAGTTATTAATTGGCCTAATTTCAATATTGTCTCAGGGAATAGGGAAGCCTGCGAAGAGGTAGAGAGGTGGAGAAACAGCTGGTGGGTAGAGCAGTCAGAGGACACACATCTGTCAATTAAGTTTATTGTCTTGTATGGGTGCAGTTCGTGGCACCCCAAAACAATTACATCAAAGATCATAGTAACATCAAAGATCACTGATCACAGATCACCATAACATACAATGAAAAAGTTTGAAATATTGCAGGAATTACCAAAATGTGATACAGAGACACGAAATTAGCAAATGCTTTTGGAAAATGGTGCCATTAGACTTGCTCAGTGCAGGGTTGCCATAAATCAACTTAAGAAAAATGCAATTATCTGCATAGAACATTACGACAAGGTACGACTGTATGTAGTTTTCAGTACAATAGTGTAAGTTAAACTAATGTTTTATTTCCTAGTAACAGCATTACTACTAATTCCTTATTAGTAATTCTACATCAATAATTCTAATTACTAATAGTAATTATTAAGTACTAATACAAAAGACTGATAATGTCTATACATACTACGGAAGTAGCATATCCACACTTGAATACTTAAATCAACATGGAATCATAATTATTTAAAAAGAATTACATACTTCATTCATTTTTGCATCATCTGGTCCTTGGGCATCTTTTGTTTGTTTAATATTTTCTACCATCTTCCTGATAAATGCATGACTGTTATTTTCATTTTTAGCCATTAATATTTCAAGAACGAACCAAAGACATCTAAAAAGAGGAAAGGGAGAAAAAGAAATGAAGTGGAAAAAACTGGGTGTTTAATATAGATACAATAATCTAAATATAATAAACTCCACAAATGGAAATTATTAAAAAGGAAAAACCAACTATAAATCAAGAGGAAAAAAGTATGTCGTGCATACATATCACAACTTATCAGCAACATAGGTGTGAATTTATAAGATCCCTTCACAAAATCTCACTAATGTTTCCAAAAAGGCAGGTTAAACACTTAAATGGTGAAGAGAATGAAATGATCCTAACTCCTAGCAATGACAGGGAGAGAAGATCGTCTAAAGTAATAACTGGGCCATGGATAAGTGAAGCTTCAAATACTTAATTTAAGACTGAATGCAGGGATCCCTGGGTGGCACAGCGGTTTGGCGCCTGCCTTTGGCCCAGGGCGCGATCCTGGAGACCCGGGATTGAATCCCACGTCGGGCTCCTGGTGCATGGAGCCTGCTTCTCCCTCTGCCTGTGTCTCTGCCTCTCTCTCTCTCTCTCTGTGGCTATCATAAATAAATAAATAAATATTAAAAAAAAAGGACTGAATGCAGTCCTGATTGAAGGTTTTCAAGTGACTATCTCACTCAATAGTTAAGAATCTTGGGATCCCTGGGTGGCGCAGCGGTTTGGCGCCTGCCTTTGGCCCAGGGCGCGATCCTGGAGACCCGGGATCGAATCCCACGTCAGGCTCCTGGTGCATGGAGCCTGCTTCTCCCTCTGCCTGTGTCTCTGCCTCTCTCTCTCTCTCTGTATGACTATCGTAAATAAATGAAAAAAAAAATAGTTAAGAATCTTCATGAATAAAGAGGAAAAAGTTATGGCTAACAACTATACATACTGTCTTTGCTTAAAGAGGGAAAAATTAAAAGGATGTTTCATTCATTAGTTAAGTTACATAAAACTCTATTCAACAGAAAACCAAAAGTACTTTGTCTCTTTACTATATGGACAGAACAGGACAGAGTTAGGCACAAGGGAGACAAGAGTAATGTGGAGCAAGGTATCATTCTAGAAAGGGAAAAATAACCTTAAGGATCTCAGGTATAGGATAAGTTCTCCTGAAGTGGCTCTCTAGCAGAATGGGGAGATTACTCATGGCTATACTGGGGCAATTTAAAAATAAGCCAAAAATGTTTAGTAAATTCTGAAGAAAAATAAATGTATTTCAAAAGCCAAAGTTCTCTGAGAAAGAGGGGTTGTTAGAAGTTTTCATTAGTTGTAATCACTAATGCAGAACTCATTTTGGGAGAACTGCTTATTAAAAAAACAAAAACAGGGGTATCCCTAGGTGGCTCAGTGGTTTAATGCCTGCTTTTGGCCCAGGGCCTGATCCTGGAGACCTGGGATCAAGTCCCACATCAGGCTCCCTGCATGGAGCCTGCTTCTCCCTCTGCCTGTGTCTCTGCCTCTCTCTCTCTCTCTCTGTCTCTCAAGAATAAATAAATAAAATCTTTAAAAAAATAAAAAATTAAAAAAATTAAAAAACAACAAAACCAGAAACTGTGCTAAGAGAGTAACAGCTTTTCCCTTGCCATGAGAAAGTTATCAGTAATTTGATTTTATTCTCTTGAGGCACCTCAAATATTTAAACTATAAAATATTTCAATGAACTAAGAAACCATTATTTTCCTTTAATAGGAAGCTTAAGGTATAATAAATTCATTTATTCAAAACCACAAAGGTCATCCTTTATTATATAGTACAAAGGGGGCTAAGGGTCTCAAACTTAAAGAACTATTCTAGTGTTACAAAGACTTTTCTAAATACCATTATATTTCCCTGTTCCACACCCAGGCATAGATGGTTTTTTGGCCTCTCAACAACAATCTTTGAAAGAATTACAAGTGTCATAAACTTGCACTAGAAAATCGCTAGTAAAGTAGGAAGTGAGGTAGTTCCTGATGACCAGCTTGGTCCATCATTAGATTAGACCATTCTCTCTTCCTCCGGAGGAAGATAGTTACTGCAAGGAAAAAGTGCTATGTGAATAAAATTAATTCACCCACATGAAAATCTAGAATTGCAGAAGAAAGTAGGAAAAGACAAGAACTGGAACAGAAGCTTTTAATGGACTGCATCAACAGAAAAGAAATGCCAGAAAGGTAGAGAAATAGAACAGTAGTACAATAATTATGCTAAATTAAGTTTTGGAAATCACATAGGAAATGAAATATGAAGAGATGGTATGAAAAAAGAAAAATAAGAGAATACAGGAAAGAACCTTAAACTCCTAAGAATTTAGGAAATAATAGAAATAGAACAGTAGTACAATTAATTATGCTAAATTAAGTTTTGGAAATCACATAGGAAATGAAATATGAAGAGATGGTATGAAAAAAGAAAAATAAGAAAATACAGGAAAGAACCTTAAACTCCTAAGAATTTAGGAAGTCTAATAAACTAATTATAATAAAGATTCCGTTATCAGCAGCAAAGAGAAAAAACTTTCAGAAAACATTAAAATGGGATGAAAAAAGTCTTACTCTTTAACATCTTTAAGTTGTTCAATATCCTGTACTTTAACATAATCTGGGTCATGTGCCAATAGGTGAATTGTATATGGAACAACATATTCTGGTAGAAGAGACAATAATTTTTCTGAAAAAGATAAAACAAAATAAAACATCCAGGTTAGAAAACCAAATCTTACTCTGTCTGATGTCATATTTCCTGCACCCCAATAGTTTACCACAACATGGCTAGACGGAAACTATACTGAAATATCCAGTATTGAGGAACATCATAAACAAGTTTATTCGTTATTCATCCACCATGTCCAATATTGAAATGTCTACTAAATGCACCATATGCTAAGGCTATAAAGACAAACATTTTCATTTTCAAATGCATGTGGTAAAAAGTGACTTGAATGTATTAAACAAGACTCAGAAAGATCTATTTTTCTTGTTATTATGAGCACCCCTGTATTTAACAGTTTCTTGTTAAGCTGCTAAGAAGAAAAAGATACATCTTTTTATCAATATGGTGCCAAAATAGGATGACTGATACTCTTTGATACCTGTAACAGAACAGATCTAAAGTAATGGACTTCAGAATTTCTAGGACAGATGAAGTAATAAAACAAACACCTTTTAGTTTAAATTCAAATATTTTTTATTTTGACTGTGATCAGCATATTCCCTTAGAGGTCAGAATGATAAACCTACTTAGTTTTAATAAAGATTAGTCAAAAAGACCAGGATTCATATACTGAACAATTTCATTTGTATTCCTACTTCCAAAATAAAAGGTTAAATCAGATGCTCAACTTGACATATAATACTATGTGTCAATAAGGCACAAAGTTTTATTTATGTCTTTACTGCTGAGCTCAAAAAAAATTGTGTAATATCATTTACTTAAAAGCAGGTATAGAAGAAAAAAAAGTAACAAGTTTCAAAATTCAGTGATTTCAAATTAAAGTGTATCAAATATTTATTGAATGCTATTTTCCAGGCTTACTATTTTTATGGGGACATACTATTTTAAATACAAAGATGAGTAAGACTAAAGACCTCACAGTAAAGTGTTAAGTAGAGACAGAAGCTATAGTTCTATATGAAAGGTGCCCTAAAGTAAGTATAGCTAACAACTACCCAGTACTTCTCTGAACCGTGCATTATGCCAGGTGCTTTACATATATTTAACACTTTAATCCTCCAAATAACCACAAGAAATGAGCACAATTACACCAACTTTACAAATAAGGAAACAAAAGCTCAGATTGCTAAAGCAACCTGCAAAAACACAAGCAGTAAAAAGCAGAAGTGGGATATGACTCCAGAGGATTTATTCTGCAAGGTGAGAAAGGGAGAGAAAGAAAGGACTGATACAGTAACACCAAAACTATATTTTAGAGGATTCAAAAGGTGCAAACCATGCTCCTTGGTTTTATGTTTGTCTAGAAGGGACAGGTAATTTCCAAATAGTGTTGACAACTAAGGAAAAAGATGAATACACAAATTTCAAATAATCCACAGCCCAAGGTGCACAAAATTTATACATAGAGTGAAAGCTTGAAATTCAGGCTTAGAATAAATTATAAAGGGCCATGTTAATGAGTTTCAACTAGATTCATTGAACAATGAAAAACCAACAGGGATTTCAAGCAAGGAAGTGCCATGATCCAATCTGTTGTTTTAGAATGGTATTTTTGATAGTGATGTGTGGTATAGTTGGAGGTAAGTCTGAGGCAGAGAAATACAAAAGAGAGGTGTTTGGAATATATACAATTATCCAAGGGAAATACAGTAGGGTAGGAGAGTTAAGGAGGATGTTCAAGACATCTAGAAGAAGAACTAAGAGGACTTGGTGATTAATAAGAGGAAAAATGAAGGTACAAAAAGGGCCTGACTTCTGGCTTGGATAACTAGATGGATTTTAATGATATTAAATAAATCGGGGCAGCCTGAGTGGCTCAGCAGTTTAGTGCCGCCTTCGACCCAGGGCATGATTCTGGGGACCCGGAAATGAGTCCCACATCAGGCTCCCTGCATGGAGCCTGCTTCTCCCTTTGCCTGTGTCTCTGCCTCTCTCTCTGTGTCTCTCATGAATAAATAAATAAAATCTTTATTTTTTTAAAATTTTTATTTACTTATGATAGTCACAGAGAGAGAGAGAGAGTGAGAGAGGCAGAGACACAGGCAGAGGGAGAAGCAGGCTCCATGCACCGGGAGCCCACGTGGGATTCGATCCCGGATCTCCAGGATCGCGCCCTGGGCCAAAGGCAGGCGCTAAATCGCTGCGCCACCCAGGGATCCTGATAAATAAAATCTTTAAAAAAATAAAGTAAAATAAATCAAAGAAGTCAGAGAGACACAAAAACTGATAACATAGATAGGATAAAGTGAGCAGATTAAAAACAGGCACACAAGCATTTGATATTAATGTCAGCTCTAGGTGAGAACAATGAAAGACAAAAGACCTATACTTTTTTTAAACCTAAAAAGACAGTACACTTAGACAATCTATAAACATACATCGGTGTTTAACTATTTTATTTAAAGTACTTCCAGTGTCATTGCTTATTTTCCTTGACCATTTAGTCAGTTATATAGAGATATGGGTTCATATTTAAATACCTATGTATTCATATTTTAAAAATGACCTTTTTAAAGGAAAAGTTACTGAAAAATAGTAACAACCTTGATTTTATTGACTGCCAATTAGACTATAAAAATAACAGTAACATCATTTTATATTCTATAAAGCTGAAAATAGCTAGAAAGTATACTTTTCATTTTCATAAGATGCTTACCACTAACAGCTGCATGCTGCTTCAGATACTCTCGTCTCACATTTATATTTTTTACCAGACACTGCCTAGCATGAGCTCTTCTCTCTTTTACAGGATCTTTTGCACAAAGTGCACAGATTGCCATATACTCAAGTGGAAGCCGTAATCGGGAAAGGCCTTTGTGAAGTTTCTGAGCAAACACTTGTCTTACTTGATAGCATTCATCCTATAAAGACATAATTATTCCACAGATTATTCACATGGCAGCAAAAAGTAATAACCCCAAATACAAAATTTGAAGGGTAAAGGAGAGTAAATGTATTCACAACCATTGCTTTTGTTCATAAGACTGAGATATTGTGACATGTTAATTTCAAGGCTGGAGTGTTCACCCTAGACCCTAATTAATAACTACCAGTTACATGTGTTAGAAAATACTGAATATAAACAGATAAAACTAACACATATAAATCCATCCTAATTTAAGGTATTAAAAATAGATTAAATAGTATTAGTATCTCCTATTTAGCTTCCTCACTAAGATAAAACTCTGCTCAATTTATATATTTTAGTTTTAACACTGAAAAATCTATTCAGATTAAAATGCACAACTCTGGGATCCCTGGGTGGCGCAGCGGTTTGGCGCCTGCCTTTGGCCCAGGGCGCGATCCTGGAGACCCGGGATCGAATCCCACGTCGGGCTCCCGGTGCATGGAGCCTGCTTCTCCCTCTGCCTATGTCTCTGCCTCTCTCTCTCTCTCTGTGACTACCATAAATAAATAAAAATTAAAAAAAATAAATAAAATGCACAACTCTGAAGGGAAGAGTTACTAATCAATTTCAGAATTACCAAATTACTTTTAGTTCTATAAATGAATCAACTGCTCATTCCTGCTGTGCCTGGTTTCCTTATACTCCCTCTTCCTAAACCACCCACCTCCACTCTCCTAACCAATTCCTTCTCATCTCTAACAACAGCTCCTAAATCTTCCAGAAATCACTGTGTAGCCTTTATCAGGAGGCATCCAGCTTTATGCCCTCTTAGCACTCTGTATATCTCCAGCACAACATTTATTACACAGTATTAAAATGATTGGTTTATATGTCTTACCCATCACTGCTCATTCCTTAAAGACAAGAACTATATCTTTATTCACCTTGGTGCCTCTAAACCTAGCGCAATATCTGGTATACAGATCTTCTGTGGAATAAACTATAGAGCAAAGCTCAATGGGATCAGGGGCGCCTGGGTCGCTCAGTTGGTTAAGTGTCTGCCTTCAGCTCAGGTCATGATCTCAGGGTTCTGAGATCCAGCCCCGAGTTGGGCTCCCAGCTCAATGAGGAGCTCACTTCTCCCTCTCCATCATGCTGGTGCTTTCTCTCTCTCAAAAAAATAAATAAAATCTTTCTAAAAATTCATATAAAAATTATAAACTTCAGTTTATTATACCAAATACCCACTTTTAAAAAGTTTTCTAGCTTTCATAGAAATATTATCTATTATCTATCCTCACACTCAACAAAATAAAATTAATGTTAACTCATTCCTTCCTCAGCATTAAAATTCCCTTGCAGGAGAGGAATCTTCATTATCTGAGAGTATTAATTACATATTGTATAAGTCAACATATCACAAATATATTCACAAATAAACCATTCATTAAAAAAACTAATCTCCACTCAAATATCCTTCCCCCCTTACTCAGATACATTCCCAACCAAGACCATGTTTTTGTAACTTTCTCAAGATTCAGGATCTAACAATGCAAATCAATTACTGAATCATGACTAAAGTAGTAGGATTCCAAAGAGTCATTAAAGTGAAGTTAGAGAAGAACTGTTAAATCATGTGCAGGGCAACTGATACAATTTAATAAAAGATGAGAAAATTGACAAAAATGATGACAACCAGGTACATCAAATAGAATCATCTGCATAAAGAGTTAAAAGATGTGTTCCTAAGAACTGAGGAAGTCTTCAAAATGTTTGTTTTGTTTTTTTGCAAAGATGATCATCCTTTTAATTATGTTATAAAAGTTAAATGTGAAGTGCAGAATGGAGTAATGTGATTTTTATCACAGAAAAATATACTCTCAAAAAAGCAAACAGTATTCTCATGGTTACGGTTGTAACTAATATTTTGTTCAATATAAAGAAAAAGAAGATGGTGTCTAATACTACAAAACGTTTCCTCCAAGATAAAGTTCCAATTAAAAGCTTTTTTTCACTACTAAATGTGAATTTAATTTTAGTCTGCATCTTATGTAAATTCACTTTTAGAGGTCTTTTCTTGTACAAATTATCTAAAGAACTACTGACAGTATCTTGCAAATAATTCAATTACTTTGTGTATCTCACTGTATTATCAACACTTATTTATATTTTCTGTTCTCTAAGAGGTTATGTTCTTGAGAGCAGTAGCTATGACTTAGTCATCTCTGTATTTACAGATCCTAGAACAACGTCAAGCACACAGCAGTACAAATTTTCCATGAATTGCATTCAAATTCTAAAATATGGGATCCCTGGGTGGCGCAGCGGTTTGGCGCCTGCCTTTGGCCCAGGGCGCGATCCTGGAGACCCGGGATCGAATCCCACATCGGGCTCCGGGTGCATGGAGCCTGCTTCTCCCTATGCCTCTGCCTCTCTCTCTTTCTCTCTCTGTGACTATCATAAATAAATAAAAAAAAAAAATTAAAAAAAAAATTCTAAAATATGTAGGTGATTATTAAATAGTACTAAGATTTGTATTATCGAATTTCTATTTCTCCAGATTTATTTTCTATTCAAATATACAACAAAGGCCTTTGAGATACAATACTACCTCTAAAGAGTTCAACTCAAATCAGAAAAATAAGCCACAGTTCATAAATAAATAAAGCACAAGGCATGTATGTATCAAAGGACTGCAGATAAAATCTATGGGGAATAAAAATGAAACCAGCTGTAAGAATCTGAGCAAGTCTTGTAGAGAAGGTTGTGTTTATACCTTGATTTGCAAAAAGGGTCAGATTTGGGCATGCAGAAATGGGAGGTGAGAAGAAAGTCAGAGGCAGCAAACTATAGGCACATAAAAAAGTTATTCAGCTTCATTGGCATGAGGGTAAAGGTAGTGGGTTAAACAAGATTTTTAAGTATATATTTGGATCCACAAATTAGAAGGGCTTGAATGGCCAAGTTGTAAAATGTATGCAATTTTTTCTCTTTTACGAATATAAGGCCCTAAAGTATTTTTGACTGGGGGAATAATATGACTGCCAACTGTGATAGGGAAATTTAACCCACAGTGGAGGAAAAAAAATCTCACAATAGTCCAGGTCAGAGATAATGATGATTAATTACAGTGTTAAGAACAGCTAAGAAGATATGAATGAAAAAACATAATAAATATAGACAGATTATCTGCACTTTTGCAACAAGGTGCAAGGTCAAGCAAATAGTCAAATATAAATCATGCTTTTCAATCTAAGAATGCCATTTGGATTTATTTAACACTTACTGAGGTGCTACATGTTAATAAAGAATAGATTTGGGAAAGATTATGAATTTAGTCTTCACACTGAAATTTCTGTTTAACCTTAGAAGTGGGACCAGACTCTGCCTTGAAAAAAGTTAATGTTGCTAGTGTGAGAGTTACCTACATAGAACATGAAATGGCCAAAAAAGAATGTGTTAGTGGAAAATTAGGTCATGGGCATATCCACATAGAAAACACACATTTAAAGGAAAAGAGAACAACCAAAAATGTAGTCAGAGAAGTATGACAAAAATCAGGAGATAGAAACCAAGGAGAATTTCAAAAATAAAGGTGCAATGAGTGTGTCAAATAATGCAGAAAGGACATGTATAATGAAGACTAAGATCATTGGATTTGAGGCCTTTAACAAAGCATTTTTAGGAAAACGAAGCCAAAATATGAGTAGTGAGGATGAGAGACAAGAGGGTAAGAGAGACAAAGATGTGGATAACTCTTTGAGGTTTAGAGGTTTAAAAAGAAGAGTCATGTGGTTTTACAAGTACAACAGGATTAGGGGGAAAGGTTTTGTTCATAAGAGGGCAACTGAGTGTATGTAAGTTGTGAGAATACGCTAGTAACTAACTTTTAACATGAACACATGTTCCACAGTCCACATAATTCCAAAGCAATTTTAAAACTTGGGCAATTTGAGCTTCCACCTTGGGAATTTGGTGATTGAGATAGTGACATATAACACATACTGTGCTAGAAAATCTCTAGAAGTTCTTAAGTGTGGATACTTTTCCATACAAAGGACATTTCACAATTTGTACATACTCCTTATACACAGTAAGTTTCAAACACAGCCCATTTCTTTCACATATTTCCTGACTTATGTAAAAATTTCCACTTCAATACTGGTAGCACCAATACCCTTAGAAATAGCAGACCAAGAAAATGATAACAGACTGCAAGTACTACCAATTTAAAAAAGTAATTACAAAGGTTGTTTTCTTCTAAGAAATTCAGTATATACCTTTTAAACAACTTTCACTTTCTTGCAAAATACGATTACCTCTAAAATTAAGTGAGGAAAACTAAATATGGAAATTATAGACTCCTCAAATTCTCATTTTCAAATGGATTAGTGTAATAGCTGAATTACACGCCTAAGACTAAAAAAAATCATAAACAAGATAGGGAATAGCTATTTTAAACACAAAAACTGACAAAATGATTACAATTAAAGAAAGATGATTGTTTATCTACGGGTTACACATAAGCACTAATTTTTAAATAAGCAGAAGGGTGGAGAAAAAAAAATCACAATAATCTCTGAAATGAATGCCAAATTCTTATACATAAGATTAATGGGAAAATTAAGTGTAAAATGACCAAATAATGAATTAAAAAATCATACAAAGTGATATAATTAAAATACTGTTACTCCAATATGAATTCTGTAAGACCGGAGTACAAATCCATTAGTATCACTGCTAATAATTTGAAACTTTAACTGGCCTAAATAATAAGAAATGCTTCTAATCTGAAATTAATCTATATCATATCTTTGTAATAAATTTCTGTATATTTTATCTTCCATTTAAGAACTAAATACATTCAATCCTCATTATTTACACATCCCAAATTTGTGAATTCACCTACTCACTAAAATTTATTTGTAACCCCAAAATCAATGCCTTCAAGCCTTTCATGGTTACTGTTGAGTAAATGAGCAAAGCAACAACCTGAATTGTTTGACACGTCTGAGCTGAAGATGAACACAGCAATGCTTTGCCTGTTGTGTCAGCTCTCATATTAGAAACAAGTGTCTTTTTGACAGTCTATTTAATGCCATTTTTGTGTTTTTGTGCATTTGTTGGTGATCTTGTTTAAAATAATTCTCAAGCATACTGCTCTTTAGCATTCTTAAAAGCAAGAAGGTTATGATGTGCTTTAGGGAGAAAATCTGTTAGTGAAGCTTCATTCAGGTACGAATTACAGCTCTGTTGGTCATGAGTTCAATGTTAATGACAACTATATATTAAATAATGTGTCTCTACATTATGTACTGATAGACTGACAAAAATGCTGTGACCAGAGGCTTGGAGAAACCACCCCTGTATTTTCCTTTCAAGCAATGGTTCAGTATTCACTAATTTAGTGATAGGGGTGATGGTAGAAACAGAACTACTACAAATAACAAAAATCAAATGTATTGGGACGCCCGGGTGGCTCAGGGGTTGAGTGTCTGCCTTGGGCCCAGGGCGTGATCCTGGAGACCCGGGATCGAGTCCCACGTCGGGCTCCCTGCATGGAGCCTGCTTCTTCCTCTGCCTGCTTCTCTGCCTCTCTGTGTGTCTCTCATGAATAAATAAATAAAATTAAAAAAAAATAAAACAAAAAAATCAAATGTATTGTGTTAGCAACCTACAATTCAGAATTTTAGAACTCTGAAATATTTCTCATGCATATACTTTCCAAAAGGAGACAATACAAGATTTTTTTTTTTTTTTTATCTCTACATCATGGTAGACTTTTTTCTTCCTAAAAGTCAAAGACCATATAAAGTCATATTCTGTTATGGCCATCTTCCTTACATTGATAGCTAATGCGCAGAGCTGATACTGTTCTAATGTGATGATTTCATGATAACAAGGTTCTTGGGCCAGCTTCACAATAGCACTCCCAGCAGCAAGTCTCAGACGTGACATATCTGGTTTACTAAAAAAATAAGCAAGAAAGAATGTAAATTAGATTTCTAAATGTCTACACAAAAACATCTTTATTTGCTTTACCTAATTTTGTAAAAATTCCTGTGGCCCAAAAAAGGATGGAAGACAATTTAGTGATACTGAACATCCTATTGAAATTTACTTAACTTTGGAAGATGCTGTTTAATACTACAAAATTCTTCTTTTGAGTGTAGTCTATACTAAAATCATTTAATTCTTGCATCCTACACAAAACAGCTTTTAGCCAAGCTTAGAACAAACCTATTTGTATGTCTAGTTACTGGGTCTAAAGTCCTCCATTACGGATTTTTTTTGGATATGTGTTTGCTTACAGATTAAGTACAAAAATATCCTAACTTGTTAATCAGTCAACTAATGTCTAAATACAAAAGCAGAATGAAAGCAAGTGTAGTGGAAAATATCATATTTTTTAGTTAGAATTCAACTTTTCAAACCAAGAGGCTCCTTTTAAATTTAAGAAAATTTCTGCTTAATGAGACACACTTCAAAGATTAGTATATTCTTAATAAATACATCAAAACAATCCTTCCTAAGACAGTGATCTATTAGATGAATTACAGGAATTTGGGATTGATGTTAAGGAGGGAAAGTTAGTAACTTCCTAACTGTCCTAACTAGGATCCCTTATGTACTTCCACAGTAAAAGATGATTATTCAATTTATTCATAAAACAAATATATGTCTACTGTTATATATAGCACTGAGAGTGACATAAAAGATACATTTTTGGTCTTCTAAAATCAATGATCTAATTGGTTTAAGACCCTCCCCACAATGATCTTTCTAAGGATCATATAGACACTGACTGAATGCATGACAACATTTATAAGGTTCTGAAGTTACATGTCCCAGAGTTGTTTTTCAGTTCATCAACAGCAATACTCCAAGTGCCTATTATGAGGTCATTCAACCACCACTAAAGGGATGCCTGTGTTTCTTATTGGAGTTTATTTAGGAGAAATAAAGATAATTAAATATTTTACAACTAAGTTTTTGAAGACCAAATTTCTATATAAAGATTTTAAAAGCAAACAAATTCACATATATTTCCAGAATTCAAATACACATTTGATTTCATTAAAGAATAACAAGAAAAACAGGTGAGATGAGATCTAAATAGGCACATAAATAATGACTAATTATCATAGTAGTTAGACAAAGTAAGTATAATCTTTATCTCTATTTTATAAATGAAGAAACTGAGACACAAGGTGGTTAAAGTACTTTGCTAAATGTCACCTTGCTGGTAAGTGGTGTCAGGATTTGAATCCAGGTCCTAGTCCATTTTTTTTTTCAATCACCACACTAAATTACATCTTCCAGACAAAATAAAGTGCATGTGTTTATGTCATTTAAGTACAAAGTTTACATATATTTATACTTCTGGAAACAGATTTAGTAAATTCTCTTCTACCCAGTGTGTTCTTTTATATATTATCAAGAATGGAAAATATCAGTTACTGATTAATTAGTATACTAACCATTCTCACATTAGATATTCAAAAATATCTATTGAGATATTTACAAGCATCTATTGTTTAAAATATTTACAAAATAGTAATACCCTGTCCCTGACATAGGACTGTCATTTTTTTAATGACTGTCATTTTGAAATAACCAGTGTACAAAAGCATATAATAAAAGTATATGCACACATACATAGGAATACTAATTATTTTCTTAGAAAGAAACTGCACCATTAAACAATTACACTAGATACTGAAATACTATGCAAGAATTTTGAAATAATAAATACGTACCTAATTTTTCCCTGTTCTGTCAAGTCTCCATCACTATGCAATATAGTAGTTAGTAATCTTAAGGTAGATGTTCCTGATTTACTGTGATTATTTTTCATTCCAAGGAGCCATCGAACCATCATTTTAATAGCCTGGATCTATTTAAAAGACAAATGGACAAATACAATATTGCTACTTTTTAAAGAAATTTTGTATCAACCTTAAAAAACTGAAATGGTTTTAATGGATGCTTTTTAAGTTAAAAAAAAAAAGAAGAATCATTCTTTTTTGCATATATGAAGACAACTAAATGTCTTAAAGATGTTTTACTCTCTTATCCAGGCAACTGACAAATGAATGATTTAACTAAAGATTAGGTGTTTGTTTTTTTTTTAATGTTTCCCCACCATAAATTCTATTCTTCAGAATCCAGAGTAAAATCATGGTAACTTCCCTAGTCAGAAAGCTTAAGTTCCCAACTGCAAATTATATTCTTTCTTTTGTGCTATGTTTTATAGTTATGAAGTGCTTATGCACTTTAAAACCTGTTATTGCCTCTAGTGTTTCCAACAACCCTTTCTGAAGGCGTGCATATTACCTCTCTTTCACATATCTTAGCTTTTTTATAGTTCTATGGCTCAGGACTGAGTCAAGAACAGTGGCATGTGGCAGACACTCTTCAGATCCTTTTCCTGGGCCATTTGTTAAGCATGAGCTTAACTACAGGCAGCCTGCCTTCTAGTCTAGTGTTACCAGACTACATAAAACTGCTACTTGACACTAGTGCTAAGAAAACAGATTTATACTGCAAAAGCACCAAGCATCATTCCACGAACTACACTATAGGTCTGCAGAAACAGTATTAGAATCTGAAGCTGGAATAACATAACAAAGTTCCTAATATAAAATATAAACCAGTACACACATACATACACAATATAAATGGATTTATATGAAACTACAACTAGAAAAACAATATTTAATATATTTGTTCCTGGCCTTCACACCATGTATAGTGAATTGAGATGAAGCCTACATTAAGAGACTATAAATCATTTTAGTAAATCAATCCTCTCTACACTAGTGATGAGCAATCTTTTATGTATTACTCCTAACTCAAGGAATAATTGGTTGAACTTTCTTTTAAATCAAAATAAAAAGTTTTATTAAATATCATGGAAAAGATGAACAGTATTAAAACCTGTATGACTATCTTTACTGAATAGAAGAATGTACATGAGAAAACCAGCAATGTCTTTTGCCATAAAAAGGTTGATAACCAAGAAGCAGAAACATGGAGACAGTTTCAAACGTCTTTGTTTTCACATTAGATTATGTGCAGTGCCCACAAGGCCTCAGGTTTCTCATTATTGCCCTATACTCTCAGAGCACAGGAGATAATATCATACAATATTAAAAATTAGATGATTTTAATAGCTATATCTTTACAACAAGAATAGAAATTTTAACACAACTTTAATGATAATACAATCTAGTGAAGGTAATAAAATACATAGATCTGTGTATATCACTCACTTTGACCATTGTCTCAGGAGAAACTTCTTCATCTGGAACCCAAAGCTTAGTTGTCTTTTTTCCTGGGAGCTAAACAAAGATGAAGGACTTTAAAACATAAATAAGAATTTTCATGTTTAATTAAATTTAGTGAATATTTACCTCCTTCAGTGACAGTCATTACAGATGACTAAAATACCTATTTCTCAAAAAGGTTAGAAGAATTATCTTCACTAGCAACCACATAAAGCACTTACACAACCATCAGCAGTTGGTTCCTTCTGCGTATGAGGTAGAACTGCCTTAACCTCTTTTATATACTTCCTTACTATTACTCAAGACAGCTGGCAAGGGGTAAGATTAAAAAAAAAAATACAGCCAAAGAGCATAGTTCCTAAGGAAAAAAGTATATATAAAAAGTCTTGAGCAGAAGATAAATTAGAAAGGCTTGCTGTTGACTGTAAGAAAGACCATGCATTAATAATCTTCCTACCTAAATCCCACTAAAATGGCACACATTAACAGCATAGCTGGAAAGCAAAAAGGGCCAAAAGAAGGCAAGAATCTTTAGAATATTTTTAAAAACACAAAATATGCAGTAAAAATATCAGCAGAGTTAGAAGGTTTTTATCTCCATAAAAGCACAGAAGGAAACATCCTCCAAAAAAGATAGTTTTTTTCAGCACAATCACAGAATAATTCTGAGATGATAAAGTACAGGTATTTCAAGATGTGCATTTACAGTGGCAGCCAGGAAATTAAAGTAAGGTGACAAAAGAGCTGCACCCAATCTAGAACACTGGAGATCCCAGTATACAACCAGCTGACAGGAATGATTTCCAGAGGCAGCCTAGGAAACAGAAATCAAATAGCAGCTCAGGCAACCCTCTGGCAACAAGAGAGGTAGCCCCAGCATCTGGAAGGCAAACTCATCAAACATATACAGCTTATGAAGCACTTTAATTGAGAAACACCTTCAAGTAAAAAGTAGAAATAATGAAAAAGCAATTACATTAGAAACAGTCTGATGAAATTTCTGAACTAAAAATTTAAGAAGATCCCAAAAGATTCCATGGGGAAAGCTTCCAAAAAAGAAGAATCAGATTCATGTCAGATTTCTCAGCTGCAAAACTAGATGCCAAAAAACAATGTTCTGAATTTTCTGCAGCCAAGTACCCTGAAAGATAGGATTTTAGTACTCAAGAGAAAAAATATTTTTAGCAAGCTAGGACAGAAAGAAAGTTTCCAAATTATGAGCCATTTTGAAAGAATTATTCAAAGATACTCTAAATATTTAATTCGTAAGAAAAGTCAATCAACATTTTATCAAAAAATAGAAAAAGTTATTATAAATAAAACTGACAGATGGTTCAAAAATAATAAACTAAACCAAATGCAACAAAACCAATGACAGAGAAAATCTAAAAATAAGAGGATGAAAAATACCAGTCAAGATAAAAAACATGAAATGGAATAAGGATTTAGTTGGAGTACTGGCATACACAGGATATTGAAGTATTTTTAGAATCTTATACCACAATAAGATATAAAATTTATAAACATGTGGACAACCAGCAGAGTAGTATCAAAAGAAAACAAAAGTGATTTAAAAAAAAAAGGTAAAATAGAAAACTTCACCATCACAAAAGACTTGAATATATCACTTCCCAAAAAAACCTGATAAAGTTGAGATGAAAAATAGTAAGAAGCACATATAGAAACATAAGGAAATTAATATAGAGAGAAAATATTCGAGGATTAGAAAATAAAAACTAGCACCCTTTTAAAAAATTTTATTTATTTTGAGAAGAGAGAGAGAGACAGACAGACAGACAACGAGTGCATTCATATGTTAGGGGGCAGAGGGAGACAGAGTCTCCAGCAGAGAGAGAGACAGACAGACAACGAGTGCATTCATATGTCGGGGGGCAGAGGGAGACAGAGTCTCCAGCAGACTCCCAGCCTAGTGCAGAGCCTGACAGGGACTTGATCCCACAACAAACTGAGATTATGAACTAAGCTGAAACCAAAAGTCTGGAGCTCAACCAACTGCATTACCCAGGCGTCCCCAAAACTGGCATTCTTCAGAAATAAAAACAAGAAAATGTTTAGCAAGAAACATGGATGATATAAGATCAAAACTATAAAATAATTCTCCAAATCAACCACAAACATAAAATGTAATTTAAAAAAAATCAAAGTACCTAACAAAGTTAAACAAGAAAAAATTTTAAATTTTCTTTACAAAGAAAATCACAAAACTTTAATGAAAACATCTTGTAGAAGAGCAAAGCAATGGTAAAGAACAGAGGCTATAAACACTAGGAGTGGTTACAATGCAGAGGACTGAAAGAATGAAAGATTACTCAATAACTTTTGATATGAAATTTGTCCTAATAGTAGGAAGAAATGAAATCCTTAAGTCACATCATACAACCAAACAAATCAAATCAATTCCAGATGGATTAAATTTTTCTGTTTTTTTTTCTTTTTAGTTTTTCAAAGATTTATTGAAGCAGAAACAAGTTGGTCAGATACTTGTTGGAAAAAAGCAGTTTTAATGGTATTCAAAAATACTTTTTAAAAAGTATCCTAGCACAAGTTTTCTTCATAAACTAGATTATGTTGTAAACTTTCTCCTAAATCTTTTAAGAGTGTTGGTTATTGAGAACTAGAGATTACTCCTAATTCCAAATCTATCTTGCGCTCCTGAAAAACTGCAGAAAGGCACTTGAAAGCTGTTTCTTTAAAATACGGATTTCTTTTTTTTATTCTTGCTGGTAATAACTGCTGCACCACATCTGGGCAAGCTTCACTCAAGGTCATCATGATGCTGAGACGTTTCGTTGATAACCTGTCCATCCCTAGTTTCAACCGTCTTAATCAGAAGTGTTCTTTTTGAGTGAGTGTCAACCAGAGGGAGTGAATCCAGGATGGTTTCCCTCAGGTACAGGGAAGAAAAGTTTGGAAGAGGCAGAGCAATCCTGCTTTCCTTGCCTTCCAGCAGCTTCCTGTAGGTGGCAATCTCAATGTAGAGAGCCATCTTAACATTCAGCAGGTCCTGGTACTCCCGAAGGTGACGAGCCATTTCTTCCTTCATGTTCTGAATCTCATCCTGCAGGCGGCCAATAGTGTCATGGTAGTTAGCAGCTTTGACGGCAAAGTTCTCTTCCATTTCACGCATCTGGCGTTCCAGAGACTCATTAGTCCCTTTGAGTGCATCCACTTCGCAGTTGAGGGACTGCACCTGTCTCCGGTACTCATTTGACTCCTGCTTCGCCTGGCGCAGGGCATCATTGTTCCTCAGAGAGGTCGTCTAACTTGGACTTGTACCATTCCTTGGCCTCCTGAAGGTTCTTGGCAGCTAAGCTTTCATATTGCTGGCGTACATCACGCAGGGCAGCTGTGAGGTCAGGCTTGGAAACATCCATATCGATTTGGACATGCTGGTCCTGAATCTGGGCCTGCAGCTCCTGGATTTCCTCATCATATAGTTTCTTCAAAAGGCAATCTCTTTTTGCAAGGATTCCACTTTCCGCTCAAGGTCAAGATGCGCCAAAGAAGCACTGTCAACATCCTGACGGAAAGACTGCTCCAGCAGGGTGCTCTCGGCTTCCTCTCTCTGAAGCATCTCCTCTTGCAACTTCTCCAGGAGCCGCATGATGTCCTTGGCCAGGTTGTTGCGCTCCATCTCAACGCGGGCCTTGTCATTGGTGAGCTGGTCCACCTGCCAGCGCAGCTCCCGCATCTCCAACTCGTAGAGGTCCCCCAGGCGCGACGTGCCCTGGCCCTTGAGCTGCTCGAGCTCGGCCAGCAGGATCTTGTTCTGCTGCTCCAGGAAGCGCACCCTGTCAATGTAGTTGGTGAAGAGGTCGTTCAGCTCCTGCAGCTCCACCTTCTCGTTGGTGCGCGTGTTCTTGAACTCGGTGTTGATGGCGTCGGCCAGCGAGAAGTCCACCGAGTCCTGTAGCAGATGCGTGCCGGGCACACTGCTCCGCAGGCGCACCGCGGAGGAGCGCGTGGCGTACGCGCCGCCCGAGGACGAGGCGTAGAGGCTGCGGCTGGTGCTGGGGCGCAGCGCGCTGCCCAGGCTGTAGGTGCGGGCGGACGTGGTCACGTAGCTCCGCGTGGAGCTCGGCCGGCTCCCAGGGCCCGGGCCGCCGAACATCCTGCGGTAGGAGGACAAGGACACAGACCTGGTGGACATGGCAGCTGAGGGTGGCGGTGGGCTGCGCAGCTGCGGCAACACGGACTGGCTCGGGTAGGACCGGCGAGGGAGGGTGCGGGAGCGCTGCTGCGGCTCTGGCGCGGGGATCCCGGAGCGAGAGTGGCAGAGCGGATTAAATTTTTCAAGTGTGAAAAAATCTCAAGACTTTTAGAACATATGGGAGACTTTTTATGACACTAGAGTAGGGAAGGATTTTTTTCTTTTTTTAAAAATTCATTTATTAATGAGAGATAGAGAGAGAGAGGCAGAGACACAGGCTGAGGGAGAAGCAGGCTCCATGCAGGGAGCCCAACGTGGGACTCGATCCCCCCCCAGGTCCTGAGCTGAAGGCAGGCACCAAACCGCTGAGCCACAGGGGCTGCCCAGGGAAGGATTTCTTAAAGATGTAAAAAGCACTAACTACAAAAGAAAGGAACGATAAATTTAGCTACTTTAAAATTAATAACTTTTGTTGAAAGGACACCGTAAAGAAAGTCAAAAGGCACACCAAAAATAAAATTCTTTGCATTTTTATGAAGATACTGCAATATATACCTGAAAAAGTATTAATGTGTATAAAGATTATGAGAAAAAGACAAAAAGCTCAGGAATAAAAGGCAAAAGATCCCAAAAGGAATTTCAGAAAGAGGCAACATGAATGGTTACTAGACATTAAAAACTTAGATTAGTAACCAGAGAAATGCAAATTAAAGCTATGAGGCACTATTTTCTAACATTTAGATGGGCAAAAATGGAAAGATCTGACACTAATGGGTACTATATACTGCTAATAAAAAATAAGTCTTAATGCTTTTGACAAATAATTTGGGAATAAAATGAAAAGTTAAATGTGTGTACACACTGTGATTCATCAATTTCACTT